GACACGGCGCTCTCGGCTGCTTCGTCAGTCTCTCTCCACCGCTGAGGTGCTTGCCGAGTCGGCACGCTGGTCACTGTCGGCAGTGCTGTACAGAGCGATCTCGCCACTGGGAATAGTAGTGCTAGGCACTCTTCCCCACGTCTGTATTGCAATACTGCGAGCACCAGCCATGGCTGGCAGCCTCAATGACGCAACAACAAAAAACTCTCCGTGATGCGTGGCTTCTGATGATGCACAGCTCCCTATCAATTTGCCAGTCACGAGGTCAATCCCCGGAGCCGACCACTCGCAGTACTTCTTCTTTCATATGGCATTGTGAAAAGCAACAGTTTTTATTTTAAATGATCGTCATGAATGAATGCAAAGGTTTTTTATGCAGTCCAATGATGTGGTTGATGCAGTGTGAATTTTAGCGATACCGCCAGGATGTGCATGGATGGAGCATTCATCGGTGATGTGCTTGATGGTTTGGACTTCTCCAGTCGTAGTTGGGTGTTTCGTTGAGCAGTGCTGATTTCGATTTAAAGCTTTCGTGACTGCAGGGATTCATCTTCTTGGTTCTTTCGGTAAAGTCACGTAGAAGGGAAGTAATAAAATAATAAAAATAAAACATAATAAAATAATTCTCACGACGTTTCGGCCACAACGCAAGCAGCCGTCCTCAGGTGAAGAACATGTCTGTCGATAAGACAGAGTCTAAATGACACGTCTTAGGCTTGGAGTGTCTATTTAAGCTGTGAGGGAGGAGGAAGAGAGCCTTGACAAAAGAATTTGCATTTGAAGAGGAATTTAGCATATTTATGGGAAATGCAGGAATGCGAATAGTGCTAATTGTGAAATGCGTGGGAGGTGGGCGGGGGGTAATACAGTATATAATTTAATGTTGGGTTTGTCTATGGCACCATATAGTACGGGTTAGACCTGTTTGATGTAAGGAAAAAAGTTTAGCTGGAAGCATATTATATTTTTTGCGACATCGAATTGTAATGTATTACTTACTGTTAGTAGCTCAGCTTATTAGAGAGTATATTTAGTATACTGATGATACTATGAAGTTTATACTTTAGTTTTTTACGTGGTTGTTTGGTTGCTGCAGCTGCATACTATTCACATTCCTTCCCTTTGTTGGTGCTGCCCCTGCCCCCTCCCTTTGATGCTGTTAATCCTGCATAATGCATGGGCATAATATGACTTTGAAAACCCCCCGCCCACCTCCCACGCATTTCACAATTAGCACTTCGCATTCCTGAATTTCCCATAAATATGCTAAATTCCTCTTCAAATGCAAATTCTTTTGTCAAGGCTCTCTTCCTCCTCCTTCACAGCTTAAATAGACACTCCAAGCCTAAGATGTGTCATTTAGTAGACTCTGTCTTATCGACAGACATGTTCTTCACCTGAGGACGGCTGCTTGCGTTGTGGCCGAAACGTCGTGAGAATTATTTTATTATGTTTTATTTTTATTATTTTATTACTTCCCTTCTACGTGACTTTACCGAAAGAACCAAGAAGAGGAGGCCTTGGTGTTTAACCCTGGTGCTTCTCTCGCACGGGCGATCTGGTGACAGTCTCTCACGAGATGCCCCCATTGGTCGCATAGATAGCACGCACGGGGAAGGGCGGTGGCTCCATAAGAGGCCCCTTGCCTACTTCCCCTTACCCTCCCAGTGCGCATTTGTTCGAGTTCTGCCTCTTATTGAGACACTCGCCTGGTTAGCCCCCCGACCATGGAGCGTAGCCCTCCCACCTCGGACTGGACTATCTCCGCTGTAGACTGCAGCTTGGTCACATTCAGGTGTACTTGGGTTACCTCCTCGCGTACTTGGGTCGCATGGCCTGCGTTATCTCCTATACCGGTCTGTATCCCTGCCACCCATCCTGGGGTTGTCCAATGATGTGGTTGATGCAGTGTGAATTTTATTGATACCGCCAGGATGTGCATGGATGGAGCATTCATCGGTGATGTGCTTTATGGTTTGGACTTCTCCAGTCGCAGTTGGGTGTTTCGTTGAGCAGTGCTGATTTATATTCTTGCATTGTTGCTTATATATGATATTTTCCACCTGTTGTATATATTCGGTCTGAAAAATAATAAAAATGTAAAAAATGAAATGAAAAATTAAAAAACGTTTTTTTTCCGATATAATGCAAATTTATTTAATTATTAAAATGTTGCGTGTATGCTAATTATGTAGGTGTAATTGTATTCAGTTATGTAAGTGTATGTAATTATGCTAATGAATTCAATTATGATCATTAGGTTCTGCTTCGTTGTCTAGGGTTGTATTATCACTGGTCAACAAAAAAAAAACGTTTTTTTCTGGCCTGGACTTTTGCAGCTGTTCTAGAATAATTTCAGGGTGCTGATTCCAAATCTTATCTCAGATTTGCTATATCACATCTCATTTTATGCTATTGGCATACCCCATTTTCATTGATTTTACCCGAAATTAACTTATGATTGCAAGTTGTTGCGAGTCAGTGACTGCTTTAGTGTTAAAATATGGTGCTGTATTTTTAGGATAGTGTGTTTATAATAAATGTATGTAGATATCCACATTTATTTAATATTTTTCTTCTGCAGTTTTTATTGAAAATTCAATATCTCAAAAACCTGATGTGATAGACACAAACTGATGCCAGATTTGGAATCAGCACCCCAAAATTACCTTAGGACTGTTGGAATACCTTACGCCAGAAAAAGTGTTGACCAGTGAATTATCAATCAGGATAATACAATGATTCTCACTTTAACTTTTACTGATTATGTCTTAGTGTGTTATATCAGGTCTCAAAATTCAGATCTCTCCGCAGGATACAGTTCTTATAATTAATATTATTATGCATGGACTTAGGAAGGCACCACTCAGACTCTTCTGTTAATCAACTTTAATCTCTAAAAAACACGTAACATTCTAATATGCGAACTCTTATGCAAGGAATGCCAACACAGTACTCCTGGAGATGTCCTCATTGAACCGTGCATTTAACCCTCAATAATAATGTTTGTCAAACTGGGTAACAGAACAATTGGCTCATTCTTCAGAGTAAGGTGATCATACACAGCGACAGGAAATTTATGTGACAATATTCATACGAACAGTAATAAAGAAACATGTGCCGAAGCAAAGGTAGACCTCAATGAATTCATTTTTTTGATTACGCAATTAATGTAATGCCTTGGAACAATGGTGTGCGGTAGTGTGCTTGCTTGTCTAACAAATGTGCATCAATTGGCTAAAGGCTTTAATACATCCGCCGGCAAGATTATGTGATGAAAATAAAGCTTTTAACACAATGGTATCCCTGTTTGTGTGTATTCGTTTTGGGCAGCGTTCCCCACAATTCCATCACGGGTTGGAAGTGTTTAACATTTTTTGCATCAGACTTGCAATCTCTGTCAAAAAGGGGCGCTGTGGCCTTTGAAGTCGTGAAGTCGTGACCTATTGTGCAAGGGTGTGCTTGCTGTCACCATGTATTCCGTCCTCTCATCACGGGTTGGAAGTAAAAAAAAAATATTATTTACAGTGAGGGAAAAAAGTATTTGATCCCCTGCTGATTTTGTACGTTTGCCCACTGACAAAGACATTATCAGTCTATAATTTTAATGGTCGGGTTATTTGAACAGTGAGAGACAGAATAACAACAAAATCCAGAAAAACGCATGTCAAAAATGTTATAAATTGATATAGATACAGTAATCCCTCGCCACTTCGCGGTTCAAGTTTCGCAGCCTCAGTGCATCGCGGATTTTTCAAAAATATTCATTGAAAAATAAAAATTCAAAAATACCGCCATATCGGCAGCCGTATTGCGGAAAGCAGCGTCGTTTCATCGTGATGCGCGAGAAAAACGGTTTCCCAGGATGCCAGAAAAAGAGAGAAACTCTCTCAGAGGCTTTGCACATACCCATGGGCACTCAGACAAGGCACGTGATTGGTTCCCGGCGCGAGATCGACGAATGAGAGCATGAGTGGATGTATCCCGTGAGCTGATTGGCTGCACATCATCGTTGTCATCGTCGTCATTACTGGAGTCAAGTCTCAAGATACTACTGTCATTGGTGAGTGTAGAACACCATAATATGTATTGTATGAGAGAGAGTGAATGTATAATATTAAGGTTTTATAATTAAATAGATTTAAGTAAAATATATATATAAAGTATACATATACATATTTTAAACATTCTGGTACCCACACACATATATACGGAAATTCCTAGGAGGCCAATCCTACTTTGCGGATTTTCACCTATCGCGAGGGGTTCCGGTCCCCATTAACCGCGATAAACGAGGGTTCACTGTATACCCAACCCACAGGTCTGCAAATACTGCCCCCTCTTACTCTGCAGGTTGAACCTAAGAATTGAGTGTTCAACTTCACATTCTTTCATTAAAGGCCTGTGACAAAGGTGAATCTACTGGGGCTTCATTGTCTCAAGCTTACACATCCACAGGGTCTCCATTTGACTTTGATTTGTCTAAGAAGTCCACCCACACCTCCACTTCCACAAATTCCTGGGAGGTTCCTCGCTCTGCCTCACAGTCAGAATTCTCCTCCTGCTTCACGTTGCCTCCATCGATGTGAAGGTCCGATTTTGGAGTTGAATCTTCATCTTCACGTTTTACCTTCACATCTTCGCTCTTCACCATCACATCTTCACATTTTACCTTCACTTCTTCGCTCTTCACTATCGCCTCTTCACATTTCACCTTGATACATTTTATAGTGTCCAAGCTGGAATGTACTTCTGGTTCTTTTTTCAGGAGGGATGGGCTCATTGCAGCACTTTGACTTTCACAAGTCGATTTCAGACTACACTCCTTGGGGATCTTCTGATGCCTGTGTGTTCTCTGGTGTCGATGAAGAACTGATGACTGTGCAAATGCCTTCTCACAGACAGTGCACTTGAAGGGTTTCTCTCCTGTGTGTGTTCTCTGGTGGATCTGAAGACGTGATGACCATGCAAATGCCTTCTTACAGACAGTGCACTTTAAGGGTTTCTCTCCTGTGTGCGTTCTCTGGTGTTTTTTAAGATGTGATGAATCTGCAAAGAGCTTCCCGCACAGAGTGCACTTGAAGGGTATCTCTCCTGTGTGTGTTCCCTGGTGTATTTTAAGATAGTGATTCATCTAAATATGCCTTTCCGCACACAGTGCACTTGTAGGGTTTCTCTCCTGTGTGTGTTCTCTGGTGCCGTTTAAGATGAGATGAACCTGAAAATACCTTCCCACACAAACTGGACTTAAAACGTTTTTCTCCCGTGTGTGTTCTCTGGTGGATCTGAAAACCTGATGACCATGCAAATGCTTTTTCACAGACAGTGCACTTGAAGGGTTTCTCTCCTGTGTGTGTTCTCTGGTGAATCTGAAGACCTGATGACCATGCAAATGCCTTCTCACAGACAGTGCACTTGAAGGGTTTATCTCCTGTGTGCGTTCTCTGGTGAATCTGAAGACCTGATGACCATGCAAATGCCTTCTCACAGACAGTGCACTTGAAGGGTTTCTCTCCTGTGTGTGTTCTCTGGTGGATCTGAAGATCTGATGACCATGCAAATGCCTTCTCACAGACAGTGCACTTGAAGGGTTTCTCTCCTGTGTGCGTTCTCTGGTGTTTTTTAAGATGTGATGAATCTGCAAAGAGCTTCCCGCACAGAGTGCACCTGAAGGGTTTCTCTCCTGTGTGTGTTCTCTGGTGTTTTTTAAAACAAAATGAACTTGAAAATGTCTTCTCACACAAATTGCACTTGAAATGTTTCTCTCCCGTGTGTGTTCTCTGGTGGATCTTAAGATCAGATGAACTTGAAAATTCCTTCCCACACACACTGCTCTTGAAAGGTGTCTCTCCTGTGTGCATTTTCTGATGTCTTTTAAGAGCAGATGAATCTGAAAATGCCTTCTCACACACAGTGCACTTGAAATGTTTCTCTCCTGTGTGTGTTCTATGGTGTTTTCTAAGATTTGATGACTGTGCAAATGCCTTCTCACACACACTGCACTTGAAGGGTTTCTCTCCTGTGTGTGTTCTCTGGTGGATCTGAAGAACTGATGACTCTGCAAATGCCTTCTCACAGACAGTGCACTTGAAAGGTTTCTCTCCCGTGTGTGTTCTCTGGTGTGTTTTAAGGGCGAATGAATGTGAAAAGTCCTTCCCACACACATTACACCTGAAGGGTTTCTCTCCCGTGTGTGTTCTCTGGTGTTTTTTAAGAACAGATGAATCTGAATATGCCTTCCCACACACACTACATATGAAGGGTTTCTCTCCAGTGTGTGTTCTCTGGTGTTTTTTAAGAACAGATGAATCTGAAAATGCCTTCCCACACACACTACAACTGAAGGGTTTCTCTCCAGTGTGTGTTCTCCGGTGTTTTTCAAGAACTGATGACCATGCAAATGCCTTCTCACACACAGTGCACTTGAAGGGTCCATCTCCTGTATGTTTTCTCTGGTGCTTGTGCAGAATTGATGACCGTGAAAACGCCTTCCCACACACAGTGCACCTGAAGGGTTTCTCTCCTGTGTGTGTTCTCTGGTGTATTATAAGATATGATGACTCTGTAAATGCTTTCTCACACAAAGTGCACTTGAAGAGTTTCTCTGCTGTGTGCGTTCTCTGGTGTTTTTTAAGATATGATGACACTGTAAATGCCTTCTCACACAAAGTGCACTTGAAGGGTTTCTCTCCTGTTTGAGTTCTCCGGTGCCGTGTCACACTTCCAGTACAATCCATGCTGTTTGCATCCTGGTCCCATTGTCTTTTTGTACCGGGCTGCGCTGAGTGCCTTTGCTCCATCACACCAAATCTGATGAAGCGTCAGAAGCGTCAGCTGCAGAGAGAAAAAATATCCACACCATCTACGTCAGTATCGAGGCTCAGAGGAATATATATATATATATACATAGTCACACATGACTTACACGTCTATATTTATTCATATATTCAAGATATTCTCCAATCCATCACACGGGCTGTTAAGGCACACAATGAGAGGGCAAATTGTTATAAATATGCCTGGAGGCCCTAGTATCTTCAAAATAAATATTAACCCAAAACACCAAACACACAATTTCGGCTGCCTGGCTACAAAAGCTAAATTTATTAAAGTAAAATTCAGCTAACATAGCAAAGGCTGTTGAAAATAATACTATTTGTATTACGCAGGAATGCATAAATTAATGTTCAATCACAACTTGGGGTGTGAAGCCAGGCTCAGATTTGCTTGAATGCTTGGATGAACAGATCTAACTTCAGCAGCATATATGCTGTGTTGATTTCCTGACTGTTTCCATTCTTACAAAAAGTTCCAGAGGAAAACTAAAATAAGCTATTGTTTAGATTTAACCTACATGTTCAATAGTTAATATACTTTACTGCAAATACAAACTTGACACTGTCACACACTGGCATTGTAAAAAGGTGGTGGTGTCCAGAACCATGCCTGGCCACCTTGATCTGCTCAGTATTAATGCTTCCTCACTTCACCATGTAATTAATTTAAGATCAATCAACATAGCAGAGGACCACAATAAGTTCAGCTTTCACTTATCAATCGTGTTTGCTGTCGGCGATAGTCAAACTAATTGTTGAATTCATAATGCAGTTAAATAACTGCGCCACAGCTCTCCACAAAGGTAAACTTTTAAATACACATACATTTCACATGGATCATTACATCTTACCTATACAAGTCAGTTTTTGTTTGTTTTTCTGTCCGTCTGTCTGTATACGAAACTTGTGACGGATTTGACTCACGAACCGTGGAGTTTTGTTTAAAAAAAGTACCCGGGTACCATGCGATAAGCCCCATGGTGAGCGAGCGCTAATCGTATTTTGCGTCCGTCAACTTTAAAGTAGTTAAATTAACAATTTAGTATAAGAATAGGTTTTCCCATTTTTTTCTGGCAACAAAACGGGTGTTAAGATGTTCAAACACCAAACTTAAACCTTTTTCAAGGAATTATTTCTGCATAAACACGATATATATTTGTGGTCAAAATGCAAAAAAAACATGCTCTGATAGTATATGCATTGTTACAATAATAGGGTTGTTCCCCTTTTTTCTGGCAACAAAACCGAAACCTTTTTACAAGGAGTCATGTCTGCATTAACCACAATACTTGCAGTCAAAATGCAAACAAAAAAAAACACTGATAATATATGCATTGTACTTGAAACTGATTGGTCCACACCAGAGACAGCTTTCTTTAGAGCCTCGTCTCAATTGGAAGACCAGATGACGCCAAAAGGCGTACAGCTCAAAGACAATGCACTATCAAAGTAATAAGGGCTCAGGGTAAGCATCTACATCATTAGACGTCCTTTGCCAGTACCAAAATATAATAATAGGGTTGTTCCCCTTTTATCTGGCAACAAAACTGAAACCATTTTACAAGGATTCATGTCTGCATTAACCACAATATTTGCAGTCAAAATGCAAAAACAAAAATCACGGATACTATATGCATTGTCCTTGAAACTGATTGGTCTACACCAGAGACAGCTTTCTTTCGAGCCTAGTCTCAAACAGTGTTAGACCAGAGGACGCCAAAAGGCGAAGGAGGTCCCATGGTATAACAATTTAGTGCTATTAATGATTATATTACTACGCTGAGCACGCGCCAAAGCACACATCTGCGCATGCGCGAGGCCGGGGCCCCTGCATGGGACTAGGCCTTACCACGGCACTGTTAAGTACTATATTCTTGGTTCTTTCGGTACAGTCACGTAGATAGAAAAATCTTTATAAAAAAAAAGTTAATTAAAATCGAAATAGTAAAAATAAAAATAAACACTAATGTAGGCCTGGTTCTTAATCGGAGTTAAGTGTACTGGCAGTCTATAATGTAGACTATGTTTAGGGCCAGCCGAGCTCTAATCTCAGAGAGAATAAGATTGCTCTGATTTTAACTTGATAATTTAGACAAGACTCTCTTACAATCACACTTAGCATTAACAGATAAAATGTCCACATCTGATTGGGACCATGTAGATAACATGACAGTTTCTTCAGCTACTTCAATGCAAACTAAACGTAAAGTTAACTTGATTGCTAAATTCAATCTCCTGTCAAAATGAAGCCCAAGCCACACATTAAAAAGTCAGATGTTAACAAGATTTTTATCAGAGTAACAGCCCAATTTCCGATAGCCTAAAATCGGTACTAGCTAAAGGGTTGAATTTCACAGTCTCCCCTAAACACATCCCAGTGTGTGATATCATTGCCCAGGTCGACATAGCCCTCAAAGGTTTGGGACACATCCCGGCAGACGTTGCAAGATTTGAAATCGCTGCTATCCTCAAAAACGCTAAGAAACCCATTAGCAACATCAGCAAGGACGAGCGTTTTGAACTCGCTCAATTAAAAAAGAGAGGTGACATTGCTATCCTCTCAGCCGACAAAGGTAATGCCACTGTCATCCTGGATAAAACCACTTACAACAACAAAATTCAGGACCTTCTTAATGATGGCAGCTATACCAAAATCAAGAGATCCCACCAACTGCCGAGCCACGAAAACCAACAATATCATCACTAATCCGACTTCTCTAATCAAACCGACCAAGCAGCTCTCTCTAAAACCTTCGGCTGCTAGACCACACAGATTTGATGGCCTTACAAAAATCCACAAAGTATCGTCTTCACCATTAACTCACCCACCCACAAACTGGCCCGATGTCTGTCTGAGACCCTGCTTCCTTTCACGGGCACGACCACCTCAGCTGTATGTAACTCAACTCACTTGGTTTCACTAATCAAGGACATCTCACTGTCTCCCGATGATTTGCTTGTCAGTTTCAAAGTAGACTCCCTGTTCACCAAGGTACCTGTACCTGACACCATTGCAATCATTGAAGACTTGGTCCAACAGTGACTAAATCCAGATGTACCAACTTTGGAAAGGAACTGCCTTACCAACACTTACTTCACCTGGAATGGTACATTCTAGAAACTAAATGAGGGTACCCCAATGGGTTCTCCCTTACTACTACAGCCAGGACACACTGCTTTAGAGTTAGTATAGCTACTACTACAGCCAGTACACACTGCTATAAAATTAGTATAGCCACTAATACAGTCAGTATACACTGCTAGAGTTAGTCTAGCTACTAGTACAGCCAGTACACGCTGCTAAAAAGTATAGTAGCTATACTAACTCTATAGCAGTGTGTACTTGCCGTAGTAGCCATATTAACGCTCAACCACATCAATTCCAAACACCCATCTATCAAATTCACCATGGAAGTGGAAAATGATGGCAAGCTACCATTCCTGGATGTTGTGATCGAGAAGAGACCTGGTGGCTCGTTGGGACACTGTCTACAGGAAAGCCATCCACATGGATGCCTATCTAAAGCCTGACTCCCACCACCATCCAGCCCAGAAGAATTCCCTCATCAAAACACTACACAATAGGGCCCGTTGCATCTCCGACCAGCGCCACCTAGCCAGTGAGCCGGAGCATGTACACCAAGCCCTCAGGATGAATGGATATTCTGACAGTACAATCCGCAAAGCTGTCTCCCCAGCCATGGGGAGACAACCGTCTTAGGATCCAATCAAAACCATCACTTTGCCATACATAGCAGGGGTTACCAAAAATATTTCCAAAAATCTTAAACCAACACAAGATCGAGGTTAGTTTCAAAACAGTACACAAAATCCGTGATTTGATCCCATCTGTGAAGGATGTGATTCCTGACATGCAATACCCTTGTGTCTACAAACTAAGTTGTGGTTGCGGCAGCAGTTACATTGGGGAAACGAAACGACATGTCTCGGACCGTGTTCGAGAACACAAGGCAGATCTGAAACACGGTAGGATCAATACCTCTGCCATTGCTGATCATTGTTTTAACGCTGTGGGCTCACACGAAATAGACTTTTCCAAGACGAAGGTACTCTGCAAACCCACCGGCCATCATCAAAGATTTGTTCATGAAGCCATCCAGATATATAAACACAGACACAACTTCAACTGAGAAGATGGGTACAACCTGAGCAATCATTGGAAGGACGTTATTAACCAAGTAAAGTCTTAACTGACTGTGATGTTTTCATCCTACCTGCCTATGTGAGCTGTTATTTCCGACTCTGTGTCTCTCTCTCTCTCTCTGTGTCTCTCTCTCACCATGTGTACCTCTTGCTCTTAAGGGTTTTTTGTTTCCTGTTGCTGGGCTCTCTGACAATGACATGCTAATCTTCTCATTGGCACACCCCCGGTGGCTGGGCCGTCTCACATTGACATGGTAATCTCTCACATTTACATTTATGTACACATTCCTTCTCTAGCTCCGCCCACTTATCCTTGGGTTGGGCCCACCAAAATCCTATGTAAACTCTTGTTGCAGCAGCTCTTTCTCCTATGTCAGCAGTCGTCCTGCTGTTTGTTTCACACCTGATGACAGTTGCTTGAGTTGTGATCGAAACGTCGTGCTCTATTATATTTTCTACCTACGTGAATTTACCGAAAGAACCAAAGAGTATGGATTCCTGCAGTCACGAAAGCTTAAAATCAAGATTAGACTATAGCAATGGTTATTAAGTTGGTTGAGTGTACTGGCAGTCTATAATGTAGCCTGGTCTGGTTCTTAACCTCGGTGAGTGCACTGGCAGTCTATAATGTAGGCTGTAGCAATGGTTATTAAGCTGGGTGAGTGTACTGGCAGTCTATAATGTGGACTAGCATCATTCGTAACCTTGGTGAGCGTACTGGCAGTCGATAATGTAGACTGCAGCCTGGTTCCTAACCTCGGTGAGTGTACTGGCACTCTATAATGTAGTCTGTAGCCTGCTCATTAAGTTTGGTGAGTGTACTGGCAGTCTATAATATGGATTGTAGCAATGGTTATTAAGCTGGGTGAGTGTACTGACAGTCTATAATGTGGACTGTAGCCTGGTTCTTAACCTCGATTAGTGCACTGGCAGTCTATGTAGACTGTAGCAATGGTTATTAGGCTGGGTGAGTGTACTGGCAGTCTATAATGTAGACTAGCATAATTCTTAACCTCGGTGAGTGTACTGGCACTCTATAATGTAGGCTGTAGCCTGCTTATTAAGTTTGGTGAGTGTACTGGCAGTCTATAATGTAGACTGTAGCAATGGTTATTCAGCTGAGCGAGTGTACTGGCAGTCTATAGACTTATTCTTAGTTATTAATAACCATTTCTATAGTCTACATCATAGACTGCCAGTACACTCACAAAACTTAATAACCAGGCTACAGTTTACATTAATGGTTATTTGTATTATTTTTATTCACGTCATTATTCACTTTATTTGTATTATTATTTTTCTATCTACATGACTCAACGAAAGAACCAAAGATTACTATTATACAGTTAGTATAGCTACTACTACAGCCAGTACACACTGATATGGAGTTTGTATATCTACTACTACAGCTAGTACACACTGCTATATAGTATAGCTACGACTACAGCCAGTACACACTGCTATAGAATTAGTATAGCTACTACAGCCAGTACACACTGCTATAGTGTTAGTATAGCTACACAAAGTGTAGTATAGCTCCACTTTGTTGTGGGCAGGTCGCTTCTGAAAACAAGAGCGATATAGCAGCTGAAGTGGGCTTGACCTGGTAAGATAAAAAAAAACTGTCGAAATATTTAAAAGAAACAAAGTTTCAAAGTAGTGAGCCAGATGAAGACAAATTAAACTTAAGCAGAGAATTAAAGCAAATCTTCTTGGTTCTTTCGGTAAAGTCACGTAGAAGGGAAGTAATAAAATAATAAAAATAAAACATAATAAAACAATTCTCACGACGTTTCGGCCACAACGCAAGCAGCCGTCCTCAGGTGAAAACCAGGTCCGTCGAGGCGACAGAGTCTGAATGAAACAGCACACGAGCTTGGAGCATATGTATAAGCTGGGCGCATTGACAAAGGAATTTGCATATCAAAAGGAATTTAGCATATTTATGGGAAATGCAGGAATGTGATTAGTACTGCATATGCATGTGCATTATGCAGGATTAACAGCATAAAAGGGAGCTGCAGTTGCTGCTGCTGCAGCAGTTGCTGCTGCTGCAGCAGTTGCTGCTGCTGCAGCAGTTGCTGCTGCTGCAGCAGTTGCTGCTGCTGCTGCTGCAGTTGCTGCTGCTGCTGCAGTTGCTGCTGCTGCTGCAGTTGCTGCTGCTGCTGCAGTTGCTGCTGCTGCTGCAGTTGCTGCTGCTGCTGCAGTTGCTGCTGCTGCTGCAGTTGCTGCTGCTGCTGCTGCACTTGCTGCTGCTGCACTTGCTGCTGCTGCTGCACTTGCTGCTGCTGCTGCACTTGCTGCTGCTGCTGCACTTGCTGCTGCTGCTGCACTTGCTGCTGCTGCTGCACTTGCTGCTGCTGCTGCACTTGCTGCTGCTGCTGCACTTGCTGCTGCTGCTGCACTTGCTGCTGCTGCTGCACTTGCTGCTGCTGCTGCACTTGCTGCTGCTGCACTTGCTGCTGCTGCTGCACTTGCTGCTGCTGCTGCACTTGCTGCTGCTGCTGCACTTGCTGCTGCTGCTGCACTTGCTGCTGCTGCTGCACTTGCTGCTGCTGCTGCACTTGCTGCCTTATCCATTTTAATATAACACTATGTATTATTCTACCCACCCTAATGTGTATCATACTGCTATATGTTTACTGTACAATTACGACACCATACATTACTCTGCACACTGCACCATGCCAGTGAGTGGAACGTGGTCTGAAAGTCACCGTAAACGTGAACACAATCAGTTAAAGCAAATGCAATTAGGCGAGGGCAGGAGGCAAGGCCCCGCATGGGTAGGCCCCGCGTTGTAATGTTCCAACCTGGACATCGATTCCATCCTCGCTGCTACTCAATTGATAAAACTACGAGAGGAGCGAGGCACTACCTGGGTAAACAACATCAACAACAACCACAACAACAACCACCACGATGTGAACTTCTCACCTCGGATCTCAGTGAGCGCGCGCGCGGATCGGCAGCTTCCTGGTGTCTCGTGACGTCACGCGGCAGCACGAGATGACATGACGTCACTAGCGGGGGTACACCCCCTCACACCGATGAGGTAATGCAGTGGTGACGTCAGACAGCGGGGTTAGAGTTGAAGTTCATTAAGATTCCTATGCCATTGATCCCTCTATTGAACATTGACCCTTTAGGTGCGTGAGCTCAACAACGTGAACATTGTGTGTACAAACTGTGTATACAGTGTGTGTGTGTACAAACTGTGTAAACAGTGTGTGTGTGTACAAACTGTGTATACAGTGTGTGTGGGGCCGTCCATAAATGACGTCACACAACTGGTGAGGGGACGGTCAGACATTTGTGACGATTTGTGACGATCGGGGGGAGGGTGTGATAAATGTGACGTCACATCAAAATGCGCAACTTAAATATAGACAACACGTTCGACTTAATTAAATAGACTTTTTAATAAATGTTTTCTATTACAACATCAGAGTGTAGCGCCACATTAAATACGCACTACAATGATAATAGTTTAAAGCGATTTGAAGCATGTTTTTGGGGGGGGAGGGTGGGCAGAGCTTTGAGACGTCATATTTGAGGGGGGGGGGTCTGACTTTTTGTGACGTCGTGTGACGAAGGGGGGGGTCAAAATCGTCCAAAATCGCGTGACGTCATTTATGGACGGCCTCTGTATACAAACTGTGTACACACACACGGTGCGCTCGCGCGCACACACTGTGTGTGTACACTGTTAGCACAGTAGGGGGCACAGGTGGTGCATCGGCCAGTCATCTCAGTTGAACCATGGCACCTGAGTCTGCCCTGTGACCTCCTGCCGGCGGGAGTTCGACACTTGACCTGGCCTTAACGTGCACATAGCCTGGCGCAAGCGCCATGGTGACATCACCACCACGTATTGGCGAATGACAGTAATTGTTTTTGTTAGTGTGTTTGTGTATATAGTGTATGTGCAGACTGTGTGTACGCTGTATATATATTGTGTGTACACAATACGTCTACCCTGCGTATGTGGACGGTGTGTGGGTGGTCCGAATCAGTCTGGCGGCATTATCTTTTCATCAGCTCTGCAATGCTGTGTGGAAGCTACCTGGCCTGTCGCTCTGCATGAAGCTTCGGGTCTTCTCGGCAACAGTCATGCCCTCCGTTCTCTAGGCATGTGAAACGTGGACCCAGTCTAAATGGAACATCTGCGCTGGTTAGAAACACTGGCTGGCATGCCTCCACTCAGATTGAGGGAAGCCAAGTGGTAGAGCATTCTCTATTTATTGCAGAGGTTCAAGATTCAAATCCGACAGGCACCCCTGGCTACTCCAGTAACATAAACCAAAATATGCACCGTCTGCTTAAAGAGTGGATGTAAAACATACTATTGTGTCATTCAAAACACATAGGTCTTTGCATGTTGGTGTCATTGTCAAAATTTGGGAAATTCCAAATATTATCCAGAAATTGCACAACTGAGATTACACATCAATTATCGCCCCTGACTGACAGACTCATGCCCACATGCAGGCTGGTGCTGGGCCACCTTATGCCACACAGAGGCAGCTGCCACTTAGGGGTGCTCTTCGAGTGTTTGTGATGAGATATGATACAAAACTCCGAATTGCTGAGGCAATTAAGCAAGTTTAATGCGTAGGCTTTCGCGACCAATATCATCTATAAGATTTTTATTGGGTTAGATCGCGTAAATATAAATGTGCTCTCTCTAGTCGTTTAGCCTAGCCTAAACACAACCCTGATCGTGTAACACCAATGGCGCTGACCGAGACAGCCAACAACTATCCGGCCGCACAATATCTAGCGAAGATGACAGCGACGACGATACGAGCCTACTCCCAGAACCGGCAGTGCTGAGCTCCCGCTCTCAGCTGCTTTTATTGTACCCAGCGTGGCCTGGCTACACCCTGGTCGCGCCTTTCTTTTCGAACCCTCTAGCAGGTTCCAGGGGCTTCCAGATAGGGTCTTCCATGACCCTTGCCCCAGTTCCTCCGCCCTGCCGACACACTCGTGTATATGCTCACCGGTGTGTGTACTGTTTGTCCACTGCAGTTGCCGTTGCAACTACAACCAGTGGACAGGCAGAGCAACCCAAACCCCGAGGAACACCACCAACACGAAAAAACTATTTACCCCAAAAAAAAACCTTGGTTGCAACACTTCCCGCAACCATACAACACAACCGCAGCGTCTCCCGTGAACCATAACCACGTAGCGCAACTCCGGCGCCCCCCGCGGACCGCCAACAAAAAAGACAACCCGCGGCACCCCCCCACAAACCGCCAACACGCAGCGCAACTACGGCATGGGCCAGAACCCCATCAGGGACCGCATAACCGTGACGCCCCGCCCCCCCCCCCCCCCCCACGAGAACCGGAAACACAAGCCAAACAATATCCACAACCCCCCCGAATCCCACTTTACAAGGGAGAGTCCGCCTTTACCAGAACATAGCTCACGTGAGCCGGTCCTCGACATTGATCACCCCCACCTTGGCAGGGTTTTGCATTCCTTGGGATTCTAGGAATGGGAACAAAAAAAACAATGGCCTAAGGGCACGGCCCTTCCCTGAAATCCCCAGTAGCATCTAATCAGATCCAGCCCCTGACACTTTGCACACGGCAGTCACGGAAAGCATCAGAGACTCGGATCCGGTGCAGCTTGGGAACATGTTGCCGGCAGGTCAGAGTGCTACGGTGGCACTGCCGGCACCCTGCTGACACCCCGGCATTCTATGGCGATGTGGCTCGGCTGACCACACCTGAAACACTTGGCCGTGGGACCCCAGGGCGGAGGGGGCTTCCCCGGTTGCCAACCCACCTGCGGGGGCCTTCTCCCGTGCGTCCCCAGGCCGCACACCACAGCCACCATGTCCTCCTCCCGCCACGGCCAAACCTCCACTTTGGGCCAATGCTGGCGGGCCTCGTGGCCCTGCATTTTCCGGGCCACATTGAAGGACGTGATCCCCCAAGCCTTCCACGAAGGGCAGGACGATACCCGACTCCCGCGCCAGCAGTCTTTCCACCGCCAAGGAGTCGAGCGCCATCTCACCCGTCTGGGGGTACGCGGTCTGCCCCAGCACCAGCAGCGCCTCCCGGAAAGTGAAGGGTGTCTCGGCTTCCCCTCGCTTCTACTGGAGAAATCTCGTGCGGGCATCGCACGGGAGGCCAAAAATATCCCCTTGCAGCGCCATTAACTCCGCCGCACCTCCAGCGCTGTCCCACGCTCTTCGCAAAATAGCGCCCGCCAGCCATGCCAAGCCCTCCACGGGCAAAATGGCACCCACCACATGCGCGGTCTCTGGCCCAGGCTCCTCCACTCTCTCACAGAGATGGGGATCGCCGCCAGGGTCCCCTCGTGACTCTTTTACACGCCGCTGGCTGTGGAGCGACTCCCGCGCTTCCCCGCGCTCCCCTCAACACGGTGGTCCTCGGCCATGCCGCGTGCTCGGCGCATGACCGCGGAGGATTGAGCTCCTCTCTCGCCAATTTTCGCCACTCTCCCGCCGATCCGCAGCCGCTCTCTCTCCGCCAATGGGCTTCGTAACCGGGTTCCCGTGGCTGCCGGAGAGATTAATGTTTCGCCATTCCCATCCTCCGATGACACTATAGGTGTATTCTTTCTTCACCCCACTCCTAACACCAGTTGTAGTGTCATCGTTGCGGGAGACAAGGTTTCTAAGGGGGCACCTTGATTAATACCTTCACAGGTTTGCCATCGCACTCCCTCGTCGTCAAACCTAGCATAAACACAACCCTGACCATGTAACACCAATGGCGCTGACCGAGACAGCTAACAACTATCCGGCCGTGCAATATCTAGCGAAGACGGCATTGACGAAGGCGGCGAAGATGACAGCCACGACGAGATGAGCCCACTCCCAACACTGACAGCCCTGAGATCCCACTCTCAGCTGCTTTTATGCTACCCAGTGCGGCCTGACTCCGCCCTGGCTGCGCCTCCCTTCTCGAACCCACTAGCAGGTTCCCGGAGCTTCCAGATGGAGTCTTCCGTGACCCTTGCCCCAGTTTTTCTGCCCTGCCGACTAACCCGTGTATATGCTCACTGGCGTGTGTACTATTTGTCCACCGCAGTTGCCGTTGCTGTATAATAGTCGGCGTTATTACACTACACTAGTACAGCACACCGGTGTGTTGGAGAACAAATCGCGAAGTGGAAGGTTTCACCAAACATTGAAATTAACGCGATCTAATTATGGGCAATTAAGCTCCATATGAATGCAAATATTATCATAATATAGTGAATGCTTGGGAGCTTATTGGCTCTTACTCCTGGTTAGATATCTACCCAACCCATAGGTCCACAAATACTGGCTGCTCTTACTCTGCAGGTTAAACTTAGGAATTGAGTGTTCAACTTCTCATTATTTCATAAAAGACCTGTGACAAAGGTGAATCTATTGGAGCTTCATTGTCTCAAGCTTACACATCTACGGGGTCTCCATTTGACTTTGTATTGCCTAAGAAGTCCAGCCACACCTCCACTTCCACAAACTGCTGGGAGTTGCCTCGCTCTGCATCAGTCAGAATTCTCCTCCTGCTACACGTTGCCCCCATCGATGTGAAGGTCCGATTTTGGAGTTGAATCTTCATCTTCATATTGTACCGTCAATTCTTCGGTCTTCACTGCCGCATCTTCACATTTCACCTTCGCATCTTTAAATTTCACCTTGATACATTTTAAAGTGTCCAAGCTGGGATTTTTTTGTAGTTCTTATTATTAAGGATGGGCGCCTTGCAGCACTTTTGACTTTCACAAGCCGAATTTAGACTCTGCTCCTTGGGAATCTTCTGATGGCTGTGTTCTCTGGTGATTTTCAAGAGCAGGTGAACCTGAAAATGCCTTCCCACACACACTGCACATGAAGGGTGTCTCCCGTGTTTGTTCTCTGGTGGATCTGAAGAACTGATGACCATGCAAATGCCTTTTCACAGACAGTACTTTCTTTGGTGTTCTTTTAGTCTCATTAAATAATCTCAAACACAACTGTCGGCAGTGGCAGAGCATACTTGTCAAAG